TAACACCACCCTCCCGTCCAGCCCATGAAACACCGCTTTCACACCGAGACTTCTTATTAGATGGATTAGAAAACGCACAAAGGACACTTGAAGAACATAAAATCGGGAGGATTGGGAGCCGTCACGGATGTATAGGACACCCAAGGGGCGAAAAGTTGTAATACACATCGCAGTGCCATCAGGGTCTGACTTGTTAAACTGTTGACACAGAAACAACACTTTGTTGGACGTGTTTTCAGCAGCAGCGCTGCTGCGCTTCAACCGCGACTCCTTTGTTTGAGCTTTTAAGGGCAGCAGTGATTGACGGGTGATGACAGGGGGCCAAAGGTCGGGTCAAAGCGTCCTGGTGTGGCGGAGACTCTGGGTTTCAGGATAAGGAAATTGAATAGCCAAATCCAAAATTGAATTAATCAACTTGAGTGTATTGAATAACTATTTAGGAGGCATTTGAGACCGACTCCCCCAGAGGACCTCGGGCCTTTCTTTCATAGAGACAGAATCTGATTGCATAAAAGTTCTCTGTAAAACAAGCTGCACTGGAAGCAGAGAGCTGTGCAACGTGAGAAAATAAGCTAATGGGAAGAATTATTAGAATACATGTATTTATATAAAATGTCTCTCTCTCTCTCTCTCTCTATATATATATATAAATTTATATAAAATAGCCAAGACTCTGTTTAGGCTGGGGATGTCAAGCATACGGCACACCGCTGTGTTTAGATAGCGAACTTGCAAAGAGCCGCCAATGGAAAATAATTTCCTCTTATGAAGGCTTTGGTTGGAAGGGACTCACTGTTAGACCTTTAATACACGGTTAACTCGTTTAACTTCAGCTGAAGGACGGGTTCACTTTGAGGATGTTACTCGCTCAGATGTGACGTCGGGATGTAACCTCTCTAAGAATACATCTCTAAAGTATTTTTGATTGGTTTTATTTCTAAAAAAAATCCTGACACACATACAGTCATCCGTCGTCTGAAGACGCACAGATTCGATTAGGCAGAAAAAAAGGAAACCTCGCATGAGAGGGCAGAAGGAGGCTGAACGAACCAAAAGTACAAAAACAAAATTGCTGCATTGGAATCATTTCACACAATGAGAGACGATTACAAGGCCATCTGGAAGCATCTGATAGCGTGTTTGTTCTTGGCTCTGTCACAGTTTATTTATTGCAGTAAGTGATTATGGTACGTGTCACAGCCACAGGCGGACGCCGCTGTCGTCTGCATGCCGAGGAAGTTCCCTGTTGATAAACTTAATTCCGATGTTCAGACGCCTCGTCGGGTTCACTTTTCTAGTTGCGGCTCAAAATCTAGTTCTCGTCACTTTCGGCAACAGAAGTCAATAGTCACCTTAAGCTAACCTGACTTTAACCCCCATGTTTCAGTAATAGCGGCTAATGCTACAATGCTAACTTCCCCAATTGTGTCAAATCCCACATACGTCTTCACGTTATGTGCATCGGAAAGGTTGTTTCATGAAGAGCCAACTCACGGCTAATGTTCAGAGCAGAACACGTTGGTTAAATCACTATCGTTAAACATACGACAGGTGACTTTCAGGTGTAGAAAAACACGATTTAATTCCCCGCGAATAAACTATTACAATACTGACTACTACACCAAAATAACCACTTTCCCTCCCGCCCTTCAACTCTAATTATGTTGCCATTCTGAGGAAGCAATTGTGAATAATCCCATGTGAGGAAGCGTTTGGGGGATAAAAGCATCCAAGGACAAACCGCAAACAGCTTCATTGACTCAAACTCCTCGGCTTATTTTTGTCATACAAAACTTGTCCGTTGCAAGATTTTAAATAGTGACCTTCATGTGATAATTCCTGTCTGAATACAAGTCAAACTGCATGGGAGGCACACAGATCAACATTTGATTCCATTTCACAGATCTGCCTAAATGGACACACTGTTTCTGAGAGCGATGTGATTCAAGTGAGATAAATGTCCAGTAAGACAGTTGATTTAACCGTAAGAATGTCTAAGTCGTAACTCAGTGTGAACTGTTTGTACAGGAATTCTTTGGGTAATTCCTCTCTGCCACTAATCCAGACACGAAGACGTGTCTTTTAAGCTTTGTCGACATACTGTGCTGTTTGGACACATTCCACATTCCAGATCAAAGTGTTTGCTGTTGCATTTCCCAGAGGAAGCAGTGTGATTACAGGTGGACAGATGGAAACTTTTGCCACGTGTGAACGGAACACTTGACGGAGGATCTAGATGAGCTGCATTCAAAGGGCTGAGAGGGATTCTGGGAGGACGATGATGTCAGAACCTTTTGTCGTGTCTTTGGGGGGGGGGGTTCTGTCCTGGTTGTGCAAAGCATTTCCCGTGACCATCCATCTGAAGAGGCCCAGGAGTGTGACTGGCATTTGGATTACAGTTTTCTTCTTAAGGGGGACTGTCTCGGGCCTTGGATCTGGATCTCTCACAGGGGGGGGGTTGATTCAAGAAACACCCAGCGAGAGCGAAGTAAAACACACCCAGGAACCGTAGAGCATGAGCCCCCCCCCATGAATGACGTCTTAATTTGAACTGCTAATCGAAATAGTTCGGTGGTCGATGATTTAACTGTTTATCGCAGCTTTACTGAAGACCAGTTTGTCAATTGTTTCTTGTTTCCCTCCAACTTGTAGAGGTCTGCTTCGCCTCCATATCAGCAGAACACCTCATTATCTCCGGCCCGGAGTGAGGCCCCTACCTGGCCCTCCTCTCCATCTCTACGCTATCTGGAGAAAAAGCCGTTCATCTGGAATAAGAGCCACCCTGCCAGCTGATGACTAAGCCTCCTGCATGTGCTGCGGAGGACACGGCCATGCATGTGGCTTCTTTTAGGGTAGAAACTTTGGGGCATCAATATTATTATGGAACACGCTTCTATTATGGACTTTCGATTCCTAACTTAGAAACAGTTAGGAAACTCAGTTCTGTGATTGCTGCTAAATTCCTATAGGAGAATAACATTGGATTTCTCTGTATGCAAATGTGTTTCTGTAATACATAAAATATGACATCCTGAACCGAAATATCAGGCTGGAAGTTTCTGTAATGAGGCCCCAGGCCATGATCTACCATCCAGTGCAACAGCTGTATAATGTAGTGCAATATGGCCCTAGAGTCCTCCCTTCTACTAATACGCTATGGAGAGTGTCTCATAAAACCCCACTTCCAAAGACATGAAGTAACCCTTTAACTCATTTCTGGGATCCCACAGAGGAAGCAACTCTGTTGTTTTTTTTTATTTTATACATCCCTCCGCCAACCAGTCAGTGTAATTACATCCGAGGGCGGAGCGGCATCTCTTCTTAGTCTTATTATTGGCCTTTAATCATCCTGGAATACTGGTGGCTGTTTGTGCCTAATTCAGCATATGAACTGAGGTATTGGGTTCATGGGACTGGACCAGACGTACGGACAGACAGACAACCTGGAAAGTAATGCTTATGCACAACATAAGAAACAGCAAGGCAGCAAATCTTCAAATCTAAAACAATGGAACACACTGATGGCCAATAGTTTTCTGTTGGTTTGTAAATTAATCAACATATAATTTACAGTATTAAAATGCTGTTACTATTATACCCCCCCCCCCCAAAATAGTTTGAATGGAACTATATATGAAATATAAATACATGTATACATGGATTGTTCCTTGAATGATTATGGGTTTGGATCGCACTGGTCCTGCTGTTATTGCGCTCAGAGTTTGTCTACAGTGCAGAGTTTATATCTGCCCTCCAGGGCACCAACATCTGGATCTGCTACAGCCTTGTGTTGCACACTATTCCTTTTAAAAGCAATTTCATATAGATCAGTAACGGATCCAATAACTATCGCATATTCAGTCCATGACCTTTTAAATAAAAAAAATGTCCATTATGCTCCCCGACCACCTGCAAGTACATTTTCACATTTGCTGTAAATGCACAAGACCAGATGTGATCCCTTCTCCACTCTCTGGAGTAAAAATATTCCACGACTCAAAAAAGGCAGCCGTACGGAATCCAAGAGGCACACATCTGGGTATCGCTCTACACCGCTTGGCATCTCAGACGTCGGGAAGCGAACAGACACGTGGCTTCCAAATCTCTCAAATGAAAATGTCTAAACCTGCGACTTGCCTCTGAAACAAAACCATCTGAGAGGCCAGAGAGGAATTGTTACCAAATCCAGATCCCATTGGGGGGGGCAGTAAAAGAGCGGCGAGGCCTTGCTGAGCGAGGGACGGTGGTAACTAGTCCGAGAGGAGACGCTTGAGTCCTGGCTCCAGGCCGACGGCGGGCTCGCTATTTATGTCCCAATTCAAATACCTGGGAACATCTCCACTTCCTCCTGTGGCCTGATGACATGGCTCTGCCTTTGAAATGGGATAATTGTTGTGTTGAGCACAATGCTTTTCAACCAAACCTTGGGAGGGCCGTGTGTTTAAATGATTTATGTGGGATTCAAAAAGGGAAGCGGAAATCATTTCTCAGGAGTTAAGCGATATAATTAGGATGCATGATGTTTTTAAAGACCTATTCTAACCATTGCACTGTACCAATATCATAGAAACTAACTCATAAGAGCGCGTAGCAGTAAACTAAATAACGGGGCAAAAAGATCACCAAATACAGGCGCAACGCTTGATAGGCTGATCAATCTGCCATGGTCATACTGATATGTACTACTACTACGACGTACTACTTTCCCCCCTTTTGAGTTTGCAGGTAAAGGTTCAATGTATCGGATCTGTCCAGTATCCAACAATGGATACGATATATGACAGTTGAATATTGCTATTTTACTATTCAGTCAAGCTCAAATGAAATATACAAAATGTTGGGGTCAGGGACCCTCAACGCACCTGCTTGGATACTGTTATTGCAAGAAGCAGGTTCTGTAATGTAAAAGTATATTCAACAACGTTCTTTTCATGTTCCAACAGCAATATGAGAGTGCGTCAGCTCATACGGATGACTTTTGGCAATGGAAATTGACTTACCTCCATCTGGTTTGACCTCCGGGTAACTCCTCCCCTCCTCTGGCTCCGTCACCTCTACCTGGTCTGCACCAGGCAGTTTAAAGAGTTCCTGATCCGGCCTTCCGGTGGACTCGCTCTTATTCAGCTCAACTCCCGCTGGCGGCTGGGAAGCGGTAACGCGGAGGGACGCCGGGGTTGTCGGGTACTCAGGCCTCCTGGGGGGGCTGGTGCTGGGCTCAGGTGCTGCCTCTGGGTAAAGGCTCGCTAGGTTGCTGCTTTCTGACTCCACGTCGCTTTCCTCCTGTTGTGCTGACTTTGTCTGGAAGAGGACATCTCTTCCTTCGGGCTCGGTGACACCATGAATTGTTACTATATCTTCCTCTGCCTCTTCAATCACTTCTGCCTCCATTTCTTCCTCCATGTCTGCTTGGCCCGTCCCCTGTAAATCTTTTTGACCGTTTGATGTGGCCTCGGGATGGATTGTGCTCTCTGGGCTTTTCGGCAAGTACAGCGGAAAATCCTCTGTGTCTGATAATCTCTGCTGATTGTTTCGAGTGTGCGTACCTCTCACTGGATGACTAATGTTCATCGGAGTCCCTGGACGAGTGGGTGTCACACTATCTGAAGCATTTTGGTGATGTGTCTTCATCTCAGAGCTTCTCTGGTGATGAACTGCGCTTGTTTGGGGATACTCTGGATCTTTTTCACTCCCCAATCCCCCGTTCAGTGGAAATACGACGCCCTTGAGTGCGTGCAATGGATTCTCTAAATATTTCTGTGTTGTCTGGTCACTGAACAAAAGACCTCGCGCACTTGTTGAACCCTGCGGCGGCTGCAGAGAGGCAGTGTGCACACGGGGCCTGCTGGTGCTCCGCTGGGCTCTCGGGGGGCTCTCTGCCAGGTCCTCTCTCTCAGCCGGATTGACATGGACTCCGTGTCGCTCTCTTAGCTCCAGCTTGCTGTGTCTTTCGAAGCTCTGGAGGGCAGAGGTTTGGTCAGGTCTCTCCGAGCCTCGAGACACGGAGATGACCTTCTCGGAGGGGGACGACTGGGTGGGGAAGACTAGGGACTGAAGGTAGGGGTCTGGGAAGGCCGTAGCACCGTAATCGTACTCTTCGGGGTCGTCCTTATCCAAAGGCAATGGTTTGAAAAGAGGAAGATTCCCGTTGGGGGGAAGGTGTTGCGGTGGGATCAATTGATCCAATTGGTCAAACCGGTAGGGGTAACTGTTAGGCCTGCTCGCTGTGTCGCCCCCTGTTGGTGCAGCGAACATTGGTTTATGGACCTGGTGCGGGTCACAGTCTGGCACAGGGTAGCACATTACCTTTCCGCCCTTGCTCGGGCAGTGGCAGACCCGGCAGGGGTCAACGTGGAAGGAGTGCCCGGCATCGTACTTTTGCTCGCCGTGGACGCACCCGACGCGCTCGCACTGCGCGCAGCCGTTGACCGGCTCCGACGCGTCGATGCAGTTGGGGGGCATGTCTGGGCAGCTGTTGTAGTAGCAGCTGATCCGGCCCCCTCCCAGGGGGCAAGAGCACTCAGTGCTGCCGTAGTCTACAAAGTACGAGTCGCCCTCGGCCACCTTGCCGTTCTTGAATCCGGCGTTGACGCAATCGTAGTACTGGTAGCCCTCGCACGTGCAGCCCCTTTGCAGGCACGAGACACAACAGCCGGCGGGCTCCAGCACTTCTTCAATGCAGTTGTCCAGCTGGGGACAGTCGGCGCCGGTGCAGTCGGGCTGGCTCAAGCTAACACTCGCGCAGTGAAAGAGGAATGCACACCTCAGCAGCGTCACTGCAGCTTTTAAAGCAGACATGGCATCAGGTGTGCACTCAAAAATCCAAAGGGATGGGGTATCGGCCAAGGCCTTCGGATAATCTTCAGTGATTCTGCTGCAGGTTACACCTGTGAATCATCGCTACTCTGCAGAAAAGGGAGGGAGGGACAGACAGGGATTTATTCCTCAAAATGAAAGCAGACCAACATCTGGCTTGGTGAGCTCAGGAGAGTCCAATTATTACGGCACCGTGTCCCTGTTATCTCCACAGGGGCGAACGCCACAACAATCCTCGATGCAATCAACCCAAAATTGAAACACTTCATACCGCTGTAGCAGTTGGGTTTGAAAGTAAATCGTATGTAAAGCACATTCTCTAAAAGTAATTAGCAAAATAAAGACCAAAGGGCACAGCCTCTGGTGACTAACACTTCTAGTTCCTAATGATGTGTTAAAAAGAGTCGCAGCAGCACGAATAAAGTGTCACACACATCTGTTACCGAGTCGGTTAGTTAATGCAGTTCTGTGAAAACGCAGAAGCCAAAGCTAATCATTAGTATATGAAATCACGAGTTAAAATGTTTTTACAGCATATCAGATATATCATCAAAGACCCTCAGCGTACTTTCCCATGGCAATCGATGGGGGCTAGCATGCACGCCACCGCCACGAGCAAACACCCCCCACCCCCCCTCCAACCATCCTTCCGTCCCAGGGCTTATCTCCAGGGCCGCACCTCGTTCAATTCATTAAACCTCAGGTTTTTTTAATTCTCCATTCACCCTGCCGGCTTGAGAGACTAACAAAGTTTTCTTTAAGAATTCAAATAAACACGTCATTTATAAATAAATCGTGACTTTTGGGGATCTTTTAAGTGTTCACGGGCCCTATGATGAACGGCCCATGTATAATTAAAAGGCAGATTCTTATATTTCGTGTTGTCAAAGCCAAGCAGATGCGCCGATGGAACCTCGAAAAGCTTTCTGCACAGCAAAGAAAAAGAAAACGTTAAACAATCGGCCTTTCTCTGTCTAATCTTTCAGTGTGGAAGCTTTGGATATCCAGCAGTCATTGGAAGTTACCGTACAGGACACAAGAGCCTTTGGCAGGGCTGCAAGAGTCGCCTATACGCAGCCCTGGTGTTTCCCAGAGTAGTGCGGGATGGGGGATCCCTCTCTTTTCTGTCTGCCTGCCTCTCTGCGCGCACACACACATACACAAACAATCCCTCGTGTCATGCAAGAGGATTCTTCGCAGCTTCACTTCTGTGCATCTTTGTAAGTCATCACCACTTTAAACTCCTAGTGGCACAGCGCAGACAATCTGCAACAACACCAATGTTACAAAAAAAAAAAACTTTAAGGAAATCAATAAAGTTGTATATCTGTCACATGCAGTTAGCAAGTTGGAGATGTTGAGCCTCTGAATATTTAACCACAGACCAAACAGAGAGTCTTTAAACACTACATAGAATTGAGCATGAACAACCTGTAGCCATTTATACCCGATAACTAAACAATAATACTAAGAAGAACAACACAACAAGCACAACTCCCCCGTAACACTGGGGTTTGAACAATAAAGTATCGGAGCGGCTCACTCCGACTCTACAAAGCGTCCGTTTGAAGCCTCGACGCGGAGCGCGCGCCGCGCCGCCCGGTGAACGTACCTGGTCGCGTGCGGACGGAGCTGCCGGGTCCTCGTGAGCAGCGCGGCCGCGGATCTTTGAACCATCGCAGCGCTGCTGGGACCTGCCGGGCGGAGGGAGGCAGGCAGGGAGGGAGGGAGGGACGAAAAGTCCACCCCCCCCCACACACACCCACCCACTCCGCAGGAGATCCCATCACGGTAATGAGGAGCAGGCTCTCCGCCTCACACACGCGGCTGGAGACGTTTACTTGGCTTGGCCATGGAGAACAAATGAATAGGAATGACATGGTGACTAGTGGAATGTTTGATGTACGAGCAGGGAAAAGTTATACATGAATATACACACATACACATAAAGCTATGCTCCATATAACAACAGTAAACAATTGTTTTCCATGTATAGGTGCAGACGAGTAATGGACATATTATATATATTTTTGGTATATTGGGTCACAGTTGTTTTAGTTTGGCTCAATTTTGCACACACGGAAGAAAAATACAACCTTGATATTTTTGAATGATTTGAATGATGTTCCTACACCAGTTTGACACGTCACATGATGCTCAAGTAGGCTTATGTTCAGATAATCCAGCACCATTTGTCATGGTTTGGTGTACCATTGTTGTTGTGCCCCACTCATGCTGTGTGCATGTTGTGTCTGTCCCCCCCCCCCCCGCTCTCATTCTTTATGCTTAGAGAGGCGAGTTTGTCCCATCTCTATCTCCGCACAATCATTTAATTTTAGGGCAAGAAGGTGGATGAGCGTGTTTCAAGCATAATGCCTCATATAAATGTGCATAAATCTGCATTTTCTTCTGAAATTCCACATAACAAAATAAAATGATCAGCTTGTTTAAAGTTATTACTCAACTCTATTTGTCCTCCCATATTTAGCTCGCAGATAAAGTCCTGCCGCGCGGCCAGTGCTGATGTGCTGCTGCAGTCTCTTACATTTCCTTTAGAGCCATGTTGTTGGCCCCCGAGGTAAACGCCAGGCGCTGTTCACTGCCCCGCTTTCAAGGATCTTGCATGTACCTCTTAAAAGGAAGGCCGTAACCTCGGCTAAGCAAGAGCCGCTCGCTCACGCCGTTACTCATGCTGCGGTCTGTCTCCGGCCAGTCGCAGTTCATGTATTTTGCAAGGCTAGAGGCTATCGCAACTACCCACAGAAAAAACACATCTCTTGCACATGAACGTGGAGCACTACTCCCTTGAGTGGGTGAAAGAGCAGGACTTCCAACGGAATTCACTCCTGGTAAAGAAATAATTCAGCCTATCATATGTATTGAAGGGAGCACGACCCCCGGTAAACGGCGGGGAGGTAAGTAACTTTACGACTTGAGACCGATCTTGCACCTTGCTTTCACAACACACTGCTTCTTTTTTTTTTTTTTTTTTTAAGCGGTCCCCTTTTGGACGGGCATCGTAAATCAGGATCGTGATAAAAGGTGGCATACTAGGGGCTCGTCGTGTCGACCCCGATGGGCGGTCTGGACCCCCTCCCTGCAGCGAGTACACGGGTCTTAATGAGGAGCTGACAGGGCCCGGGGGGGGGGGGTGAAACGGTGGTCCATGCTGTGATAAACTGCTCCCCTCGGGTCGCAGATAAGACCACTGTAAGCGGAGTGGGCCTTTTACCTAAAGATGATGGATGAGGTAAAACAATAGAGAAGGGTGTTAAGGGCGGGGGGGGACGCGGAAGGACACGTCCAAACTTGCATTAGGCTGACATCTTTTTTACTCGCAGAGCCAACGGCCTTGCTTTTCACACATCAGTTTTTTGTCTGGGGTACCAGAGACGGCAGTGTAGAACAAGATCACAGAGGGGTCGCCGTGGCGGAGTGAACAAACTTGCATTTTCGTGCGTTCCTAAAGGGATCAGGCTCAGCCTTGCTGTAAAACACAGAGTGGGACTCAACAACGCATGGGTGAGAAATGTGGAATCCCAGTGTGATCTCCAGGGAGCGCCGCCAGACGCAGACAGGGCTCTGAAATCGCCCGAGAGGCTTTGGGGGAGTCAGCCTTCACGGGGAGCATCTGGTTCAAGACTCACTCGTGTCCCGCTTGTATTGTCCATTGAAGAGAGGCTTGGCAGGGGCCCTCAAACAAATGAGTTCCACTTCAATCTTGGCAAGCGAGTTATGCGTGTCTCAACTCGTGGGATTGGCGCAACACATTAATGGGAAAAATTCAAGTCTAAAAGAAAATTATAATAACTATTGTTTCCAGTTGGGTTTAGTATCTTGATTGCTATTACTGTCTTCTCCATAGCAGCTGCAGCTTGAGGAGAGTGAGGTCATGTGGTATATTTGCTAGATGTACTTGAGGATTATTACCTAATATTACTTGAGCAGCTGCAATGGAGGTTGTCTCCCAAGCAGAAGCCATGTATGTAGATTCCCACATTAAAATGCTACATTTTTAACACATTTGTATTCAATCCGACCAGTTATGTAGATGGTGTCTGTGGGCCTCCTACAATTTCCTTTTTTCAGCTGTAAAGGCAGAACTTTTGCAACAAAAGTAGACAGAAAATACAGCTGTGCATACGAACTTGTTTTATTACCCAGTGGCAAATCCCACATCTCCACAGCCTGGGTCCAAATGATATCCACCAACATGACACCCCTCACCCCCACAGAGCCGGTCTGGTGACCAGCATGAGGAGGAGGTGCCAGCCTGTTTATTCCCTTAATCATTTTTTAAATTGCCAATACATTGTTGTGTCCTCACACTTTAATCATCCAAATTTACCAAACTACACCAGACAGGACTCAACGGCAAGGGTAGACAATTTGGCAATTTGGCTTTTCTTATACTGTATATTTTAATATATAAACATATTATAAATTGAAATATATTTTCTTATATATTAAGAAGTGCTATGTTTAGGAAACAGCATCATAACGCAGTGCACAACTGGACTGATGTTGCAACCACAGGTCTGCCGTTGGCACTATTTAGGTACGGAGGGGTAAGAATCTACAGGCAAACACAATGGAGGTTATTCATTGCTGGAATGTCAGCCAGTGTGTGTTGCTGGCTAAAACGTTTCAACGAATAAATGCATGAAATGACTGGCTAACTACATTCAGATGGTAATGTGTATTGAAAGTTTTAAAAGAATGTTTATATTTTGTATAAATCCCCCCGATCGCGGCCTGGGAGACTAAAAACGTTTGGAAATAGCTCTCTTTCAATGAACAACGATAATACTTGCAGCATGTTGCAATTAACATCTGGCACCAGCTCAACAGCAAATTCTTATTCCTTGCAACAGGCAGCACCAAGGTCTGTAGTTAACAATATACAGGAGAAGATCTGGTCGAAGCATCGATGCAGCGTCATTGACTCTTTTTTTGGCCGGCAGCACAGAAACATTCCTTCTAATACTTGAAGAGGTTTGACCTGCACTTGGACCTCAGCCTGACGGGTTATCTGAAGGATACAGAGCAGTGATTTGCAGGACAAAAGTGAACTCTGGAGACAGACGGAGAGACAGGAAGTGGGTGTTTTTGCACTCTGGAATCCCCATTAGCAGGGCGCTGTAGGGGGACGGAGCGGACCTGCCCTGCATTTCTGATTCTCAGATTCTCAAGAATAATATGTGGTGAAATCAAGACTCGGGTGGACGCAACATGGTCCAAACCCGTGATCTGTTCCCTCCGTATTTCCCCACATATCTCATCTCTATCTGACAATGGGCTTCACATGCATCAAAATGCAAAGCATTACGTGGCTGGATAAATTAAATTCCTAAAAAAAAAGTGATCACTCTTTGGCCTTCAGATGGTGTTTTTGTACAAAAATGGAATGAAACTGGCCACCGAGATCAAACAAGAAACCTTTTGCGTTCATTGTGGACAAAAGTGGCAGCGTTTCCAAGCACCAGAGCTCTCATTTGGCCACTGCAACGATCTGACGGCCTTCATATGCTCAGTCCTGGTTCTGCTTTGCCTCCCTCCCTTCCAGCGGGCCAAGCAAAACGGGCTGCCTCCGACTTCAGGTTAGACGCTGCATTCAAGCCGGATCTGGGTCCGTCCTCAGGGGTCTGAGCTGAAGGAGGTTCTGGTGAACTCGCATGACTTGCATGACGATTTTGCTCGCATTACATCCCCCAATAATGAAAGAGATAAAACAAATCTTCACTCCCTTTTACTGATGTATTTTGGCTAGTAGCCTAAGTATTTATTTGAAACAGGATTACTACTAGTTAAAAATGTAACACAGTAACTTTAACCAAACACAATGAGTCGGAATCTAAATCCAGCAACATAAGGGCCCTGAAGGGGGGCATAAAGCCTTTTCTGTGTTGGTCACCAACATAATGGCGCATTGTGTTTGTGGAGCAGAGCGAGCAAAGAACAACGTGTGCTCTCACTGCTGCCAGTGAGGCCACACGTGGGCACCGGTGGAATTGGAATAGTTGAAAAAGTGGGTTTGGGTTTAGCAATCAGTCGGAAGCTCTGACATCCCTCTCTACCGGTCACTCCCATATCACCTTCTGTTCGCTGGTGCACTTTATTTTTAACTTTTATTTTTAATTTAAATTCCTTACATTCCTTAAATGTTGTTCTGGCACTATGTTGTCTTATCTGTCGTATTGTCCATTGTCTTGCACCAACCACCAAGTCAAATTCCCTGTATGTCTAACATATTTGGGTAATAAATGTTCCTGATTCCTGATTTAATGGTAATCGTTTTGTTCAATGCAACCACTCGCATCCATTCAGCTAATCAGCTTCTGATTTCATGAAATATGCATGTGCTAGCAGCAGGCACTTGCAGGGAGCTTTGGTTTCCAGGAGATGTTGCTCGATACAGAGGAGGGACCAGAATTATGCATTGCTCCAAATTGGCTTCCTGTGTCTATATCCCTTTACCCTGCAGATAAAAACTCGTCACAGCAGTACAGCTCAAAATGTCAGACTGTGGAACTCAACTGAATCAAGACTCAGCCATTGAACCCTCCAGGCTGCACCTCTACCGATTCAAACCCCCTTTGGTGACAGGAGGACGCACTCCTGCCCTGAGCCGATGAATCGCCCTTCAGGTAAAGTTAGCAGAGCAAGAAGCAAGATGGCCACTGCCAAATACTGCACACAAAGGCCAACCT